TAGAACATGGTAAACATCTTGAAGTGGTACTTGATTAGGACTATATTGGAGCGCAACTATAGTCTTACCAATGTAAGCAACCAGTAATCTTCAATTATCAATTGTCACCACAACACGATTTCTCTTGTATTATGATAGACTCTGTAATTGATGTTTATCACTTTTCATATGATTTGAGCACCCTAAGTTGACAATCCAATCATTCTCATAGTTGATCTACTCAGCCATCGTTATTGTGAGAGCTAACTCCTCCTCTTCCATAGCAAAAGATGCTTTAGCATCCCACTCATCTTCATTTTTCTCCTTTGGTTTGGAAGTAGCAACATTACTCTCAGCAAGCCTTTTGTTGGACCAGTAATCTTTTGCAATGTGTCCCGTCTTGCCGCAATTGTAACATTTTCTCTCAAATCTTTTACTGTTATCGTGATTCTTTAAAGCTCCCCCTAGATGAGAGCCTCCCTCTCCTTGATGACTTTATGCCTTGTCACCATCCTTTTTAAATCTGCATCCAACATGTTGTTTGAAGTTGCTTTTGCTTTTGTTGATATAGCGTGCTTCCTTGTACAATAGCAACAAAACTTCGGGATTCAAGCCTTGACCATGTACAAGTATTCTCTTTGTTCTAGTTTCCCCAATAATAGCGTTTAGTTCTAATTTAAAAATTTCGTGGCATATTGATTTTACCTTGTGGAAATACTAAGCAATCGTCATATCGTGTTGTGCAACTGATAGTAGCTCGTTTTCGAGAAGCTACAGTCTTGTATTGTTCTTCCTTGAAAAAAGTTTGATGAATGTGTCCTATGCTTCTTTCGGTGTTTTTGCTTCCCAATGTGCTCCAACATTTCATCTTTAATTGTGGTCTTTAGGGCAAACATTTTTTTACCTACTTTGATTTTCCATTTACGCAAAATGCCATTTGCATCTTCTTCTGGCTGTGTAACTTCATTACCGCCAACAACCTCCCAAAGGTCTTGACCTTGTAGGTAAGACTCCATACATGTCGCCCACTTGTCGTAGTTATCGTTGTTTAGCTTCTTGACTCCAACTACTTGAAGGTTTGTGCTAGCAAGATTTCGACAATACCGAACAAGCTTGATCAAAAAACTTGCAGAGTACTAAACTCCTCACGACTCAAGATAGCTCCACCAAAGGGTCCCTAGCTGTCCCACTTTGATACCAAATGTTGACTCAAACATGTATATTAAAACATTTCTACAGCACTCAAAAACACCATACTTGAACAAAGAATCGAAAAGCTTACTGCATTCCTTGTTTTCCTTTTTGTTTTTCTACAACTCAAAAGCCTCACACGAATGAAAAGGGGAGATGATTACCGTTCTCAAAATTACAACTACCTACCACAAAATAAAAAATGGAGAAATAATCGTTGCCACATATTTTTACTAGTCCCAACAACTCCTACAATCTTAAAAAAAATATATTCTTTACACGTTTAAGAAAAGTTCTCATTGTCCTGGGTTAAGGTAAAATGAACCAGGCTTTCATTTCCTTGGGTTGCTAATTTGGCCTTTGTAATGGGTTGGGGTTGATCTTTAACATTGCCGTCATGACTTAAAATCTTATGGTCACTATTAAGTCAATTAATATAAGGTTTTTGTCTTTTACTTAAACATCTTCAAAATGAATGTTTGAATATTGTAAAGAGATTGTTATGTTCGTCTCGGTAAATGACTGTTCTTTATGATGAAAATGATTGATATAGTGTCTGAGATATGGTGAATTATGGAGGCCCATATAATCTCTTTGAACATTTGGTTTCAATTTACATAGTTGTGTTGAAATTTTACCAGCTGATAGCTAGGCGTCAATTCTGAAATTTTATATTTCAATTTCGTATTTCAAAACACGAAATTATAATTGAAATTGTTTAGCAACTTTTAATATATATTAAGACAAGTTTACGATATACTCAACATTATAGGCAGTGCAGAGTTTAATTGAGAAACTCCATTTTTATAAACAATGTAATGGAATTCAGAGCTATCAAGTGGGAGCTCAACGTTACTATATATTTCAATATGAGTAAGATTTAGTGCAATATGACTGCTGCCTCTTAAGACTTGACTTAAGATTACTTATCGAATTGTGGCATCTCCAACCCATTGCACCAAATTGATGCAAATTTTGGTGTAAAATACTATTATATCTTCAATCCATTACACTAACTATTATACAAAAAAGAATATTCTTTAGAATATTTCTAAGAATATTCTCTTTCTTTTTATTTTATTATAATAATCAATGATTAATCTATTTCACTTATTATTTTTTGTATATATTAATTAAATATTGAGAATGATATTTTTATTAAATAATAATTACTTTGAAATTATACTAATTTAATAAAATTCAGCTTTTATTTAATCAAATAAATATTACATGTAATATAAAATGATACAAAAAAAAAAAAAAAAAAAACAACAACAACATAAAAGTAAAATTTCATATTGATAATAATTTAATTTTCCGAATTAGTATGTTCTTCCCACAAATGATCAATTAATGCATTTCGAAGAGTATGGTGAGCCTCTGTATTGTCCATTCAAGCTCAAAAAGATGTGTTGTCCATTCAAGCTTAAAAAGATGTGTTGTCCATTCAAGCTTAAAAAGATGTGTTGTCCATTCAAGCTTTTTAGATTTAGTGTTTTTAAATTAGTGTTAATTTTTATTTTGACTTATTTTAGTTTAATATTTGCATTGAATAAAGTTTTATTTTTAATTTTTTATCATTTTTTGAATTATATCATTATTATGAATGTATTATTATAAATAATAATCAAATTAAATTAAATACAAATAATCAAATTTGGTGTGATTTTTGGTGTAAAATTTAATAATAAAATTAACTTAACCAAAATAATAATAATAATGGTGCTATAGTGCCACGCCAAATTGGCGTGGCGCTTAGCACTGGGTTGGAGCTCAAACCCACGCCATTTTGGTGTTTTTTATACTAAAATGGCTTGGGTTGGAGATGCCCTTAAGTGTGCTTAGGATGAATTTCCTCTGCTCTATAATTAAGGTTGGGCTCAATATTTTTATACTCTGGCATTTTTACTTTTTAAAAAGCTCCAAAGACTTGGGTCAACTAGTCTTCTTCTACCATTTTTTCATTAATATTTTACTCAAAAGAAAAATTAAAAATAAAAATAAAAAGAGATTATGGGTATGTTTAGAGCATTCTTTATATTGAAAAATCTTTATGGGATTGTCAACAAAAAAAAATTATTTAATTATAAGAATGGGTTTGTAAGAAAAAAAAAAAAAATTGTTGAATCGCAGCTTTTGGTTGGATTTGTTTAAAATTGGTGCAACTAATTAATACATTTACAATGTGATTGGTATTACCATGCAATTAAGTGAAGACCAGAACTGAGAATTTCTAATATAAAAAGCGTCTTATTAGGATTAGTCCTGGACGAAATTTTTTACAACCAAAGTTGAAAGAGGACCTCCATAATTGTCTCTCGAATTTTAAATTAGTTTAAATGAATTAGTTTATATTATACATTTTGACAAAGATGCATAATAGTATCAAAGTTTGGAGCTATCCAGATTTCTACGGTGGCTGAGACTTCTAATTTGGGTTGTGGACTTTGTCTCAACTATTTTATCTGTTCATGATTTTTGTTTTTCAAAGATAATTTAAAATTTTCATAAGCCTTAGTGGAGGTGGTTTGGTATTGCAAAATTGTCAGTTTATTTAAACGCCCTATGATTTTGACCCTAATTTATCGTATAAGGACATTTCCTCTTTAATTTCTGAAATACTCAATATTATCCTTATTTTCAGAACACCTTTTATATATATATCACATTATGAAAACAGAAACAACGCTACAAACACCTGTGTTTTTACATCGAAATTTTGTACCGGCCTACGTGTCTCCTGACTCAGACCATTTAACGCATTTAACATTATTGAATTTTTTTTTAAATATAAAAATTTAAAAAAAAAATATGAAATGTAATGGACGCCCGTCCATAAGGAATTGACGGCCGTCCTTTTTTTTTGAACGGGCGTCCCTACTCTAATTAAAAAGCTTCAAGCTTCAAGTCCTAACTTCTCATCTTCCATAACCTTCTGCAACTCACCCTACATTGTTTCAAAGCTCATAACCAATGGCTTCTTCTATGCCTTCCTCTACTTCTTCTTTTTCTACAGCTTTTCACGCTTTCGCACAACCCAAAACACACCCCACTTCTTCTCCATTAACCCATGCTGCAAAAAGGCAGATTTAGATGACCCAAGTGAAGATTTGATGGAGGGAGTCAATGAAGAAGCCATGGAAGGCCATGAAGAAGAAGAAGTGGCGTCAAAAAAGCACATGGGTTGTGCGAAAGCGTGAAAGACATTTTTTTTTTTTTTTTTTATATATTTTGGTTATAGCATTTTTGACTTCCTGGCAGAGAAAAGAAGCTTTACCTGTTTCGGTGTAATTTTTCGATACAATTTTTTCGGTGGATATAGCATTTTTGAAACAGAAAACTTAATCTAACATTATGAATTGTCAAAATTTCCCTTTCACGGTTAAATTTTAAGCCCTGAAAATGTTTTCTTACAATACATTTGGGGGATCAAAATGTCATGCAGACTTTTTTTTTTTGTTTTTTTTTTTTTTTTCAAATGCTTGATCTCATATGGGCCTTATTAGGCCTCTTATATGTAGCCCATAAAATACATTTTCCCTTTGCCACTGCAATTAGGCATACCAAACATTTCCCCAGATTTTTAAATCAAAACAAGTTATCAGATTTGAAATATAAACTTAAGAAGCATAATTTTAAAACTGTAATAATAAGAATAACATCAGCTTAAAGTTTTATTAGCATCATCCTTGAATATTAAGAACATGGAACTTAGTTTTATGAAGTACATGATTGAAGACAGTTCAGATGCAAAAATGATACTCTCTTGAATATTAGTGCAAGATCTTCAGATGGAGTTCCAACAAGCCCTGCATCTTCAATGAATAATTTCAACTCGCTTGAGGAATAAAACCAGAAAGATTGTTACCACGGAAACTCAACCTATGTAAGTTGCTCAAATTATTAAAAGAAGGAGGGATGAAGCCACTAAGTTGATTTCCACCACAGAGTAGATCCTTAAGAGATTTCAAGTTTCCCATTTCTGTGGGAATAGATCCACGAAGTTGATTACCATACAATTGAAGAAATTTGAGGTTTCTCAATTTTCCGAGTTCCTTGGGAATGGAACCAAAAAGCTCATTGTTGAACATGTACAATGCAACCAGGTTGGAGAGGTTTCCCATCTCTGGAGGAATGGAACTAGAAAGTTCATTCTCATTAACACCCAACCGAGACAACTTACTTAAATTTCCCAAAGAAGAGGGAATTGAACCATTAAGTTGATTTGCACCTAACTCTAAATCAACAAGGTTTTTTAAGTTTCCTATTTCCATTGGAATAGAGCCAGAAAGTTGATTATCATACAAATAAAGATATTTGAGATTTCTTAAACCACCTAGCGAAGTTGGAATCGAACCTGAAAGACTGTTGCGATAAAGGCTCATATCTGTGAGAGATTCTAAATTTCCGAATTCCTGAGGAATAGAACCGGAAAGTTGGTTCTCGAACATGTACAACACGGTGAGCTTTCTTAGTTTCCCAAAACTGGAAGGAATGGTGCCTGTTAAATAGTTGGCACTCATGTAAAGTACAGCTAGATTAGAGAGGTTTCCCATTTCTGGTGGAATAGAACCAAAAAATAAATTATGGTGAAGACTCAACAGAGACAAGTTGATCAACTTTCCCAAACAAGAAGGAATTGAACCAATAAGTTTATTTTCACTTAAGTCTAAATCAATAAGGTATTTCAAGTTTCGTATTTCTATGGGAATAGAGCCTGAAAGTTGATTACTATATAAATAAAGATAGTTGAGATTTCTTAAACCACATATAGAAGTTGGAATTGAACCTGAAAGATTGTTGCTATAAAGGCTAATATCAACGACGGATTCCAGATTTCCTAATTCCTGCGGAATGGAACGGGAAAGCTGGTTCTCAAACATGTGCAACACGGTTAGCTCTCTAAGTTTCCCAAAACTGGAAGGGATTGGGCCAGTTAAATTATTGGTATCCATGTATAATTCAACTAGATTAGAGAGGTTTCCCATCTCTGGAGGAATGAATCCAGAGAGTGAATTATTATAAAGATATAACCAAGACAAGTTACTCAAGTTACCCAGAGAAGCAGGAATTGAACCTTCCAAACGGTTGCTGTATAGTGCAAGATCATTAAGAGAACTCAGCTGGCCTAGTTCTTCAGGAATTGAACCACTCAACTGATTCTCAACCAAGTGGAGCGTCTCCAAATGTGTTAAGAGACCAATTTCTGATGGTATTTTCCCGGAAAACTGATTAGTTGACAAGTCAAGGTACTTTAGTTTGGAAAGGACACCAATTTGATATGGGATGGAGCCAAAGAGTTCATTAATGCAAAGATCCAGATATGCAAGATGTGGAAATGATGAGAATGACAATTCATCAAGCGTACCTTTTAAACCTGCAGCGGACAGGTTAAATTTATGGACTCTTCCCGCATGGTCACAAGAAATCCCAAACCAAGTACAGGGGCTTATTTTGGTTCTGAGTTGGGTAGAATTATTAGTGGCATTAGCAGGATAAAGAGTCCATGAAGAGAGGATATTCTGGGTTTGAAGGCCGGCTTTCCATTTGAGAAGAGCTTGAGCTTCTCGAGTTGTATCAAAAGCAACACTGAGTTGAAAATGTAACGCAAGAAGCAGGATACCTAGGGAGAATAATATATTGAGGGATGAGAATGCCATTGTTTAAACTAGTTAATTTTGTGCAGCACACAGAGTAATTCAGAAACTCCATATCTATATACAAGATAATGGAATTTAGAACTGTCGAGGCTTAGAAAAAAATAGTCTTTGCACCATCTTTCACTCCAAGTTTTTGTTGATTTTTTGAGTCATCTTTACGTACAAGAAGGTTTATGCAATTTTTCTTTCAGATAGAAAATTGTAGAAAAAGTGGCTTAAATAGTGTAAAGTTGTATTCACATGTATTTGGTGTATAACTCATAAATGCCATGCATTTTCCTTCACCAGGTTCACACGATCTTTCTCTTGATGAAAGATAAACTTTTTGGGTGGTAATAAATGCCACCCGAAGCAAAATTTTAGCATCATGTCTCCCAACATGTCAAAATTCTCATACTTGGTGGCTTCACAAATTCACACGCCGGATTTTGTACCGAAAATCTTGACAAGTTTTGGCCTTCCCTTTACTATAAATACGGGTGCATTTTGAGGAGAAGTTCACACACATTCTCAAGCAATACAAACATTAGAGACCGAGAGCTTGAGTTAGAGAGATTAGAGTGTTGAGAATGTGAGAGATATTAAGTGTATTTGGGATTTGGAATTGAGAGTTTCACCAAATGTAGTATACTCTATTTTGTTAGTGAAATTCTTTTTTTATCTTCGCACGTGAACGTAAGCTAAAAGACTGAACCACGTAAATTATTTTGTATATTGTGTAAGTTATTATTTTTTTTCTATTTTTCTTACCATTAATTTTATTCATGGGTTGGGTCTCTCACAACAAAAATAACAGATTATATTTTCACACCAGATAACATCTTGATTTCTTCATAAAATAAGATATTAAAGTAAAGAAAATACTTAAACTTGCTTAGTTCACGGTGTAGTCAATTTGGGTCATTATCATAGTGTATACATTTTCTCAAGTGCGTGTTTGAAAACATTCATCTTTCTGTAAGACACGGCTTGACGTTATGGAATTTTAACTTAATTGTGAGACTCAAACACTTGAGTCATGTCTTCTTCTATCATTTTCAATTTGTTATTATTAAGAAAAAAAAAATTATGGTTTTCTTATAGTGTTTTATATTAAGAAATATTTATAAGATTGTGCAATCACAGTCCTTATACCTTTTTTAGAGGTGACATTCAGTTTGATAACCTACTACTAATCCTTCTTTGGCTTCTGGTAAATCTAAACGCAATCTCTCGTATTCCACTAGGGAAGAAATTGTAAAATCATTAAACTCTATGGGTTAATGCCACAAATTCCACCCCAAAAACCATATTTTGATTAAACGCCAACTATATTAACTATATTTGAACTGTTAGATAATCATAGTTGGTGATAGCATTATTGTTCCCATCGCTATTGTAAAACCATACATGAGATTTTCACCTCATAGTTGAATTTTTACAATTTAATTATTGTTAAATTTTAGTAGATTATGAGAATAAATTTGCAACAAAAACTTAGTTAATGGTAGCTTTTCGGTGGATTTCAAAGTCATATTTAGTTCTATAGAATTTTTAATATCTATATCTCTGGGAAAATTATTTTTATGATTAATATGTAATCATGCTTTCATCTAGTATCTTATAATGTTTAACAGTATTTTGTTTATTTATAATTGCCACTAATAAGAAAAATGGCCCCCTAACATCTCCTGTTTCAAACTTTTAATTTTTAGTTTCTTGTTAATGGAGTCACTACTACCGTACTACACATGAAAGAGCAATGAAGTTTCAATTAATATGTCCATGTCCAGAATTGCAATGTTAATGATTTGATTCAAACATTACAGAAACATCTTATAAATTAAGAATATTACTTAATCTTAGAAGCAATTCACATTCAATTCAAAGTTGAGCAAGGACCTCCATAATTGTCTCACGAGCTTGAAATTTGATCCTAATAGGCCTCTCCTCTGGCTTGTTCATGTTATTTTAGAAGCAGGAATTGGACCGTGTAAATGACTTTCTGTACAGAGCAAGTTCACTAATTAAGAGAATTTAGCTGGCCTAATTCTGCAGGAGTTGAACTATTCAGCTGATTCTCAACCAGATGGAGGGTCTCTAGATGTGTTAAGAGGCCAATTTTCTGAAGGTATTTTCCCGGAAAACTGACTACTTGACAAATCAAGGTACTTAAGCTTAGAGAGATTACCGATGTGCGCCGGGATGGAACCAAAGAGTTCATTAATGGCAAGATCAAATGATGAGAATGATAATTCATCAACGAGACCTTTTAAANGTCAACCTTCCCTTTTTCTCAAGTATTGCTTTTACTATATCTGTAATAAAATAAAAAAATTAAGTAAATAACCATACATATTTCATTTGACCGAAAATATTCACTAAAGCAAACTCATAGAATAAAAATAATTACATATGTGGTAGGATGACAAAAATAACTGCTAATGTATTACCTAGATCTCCGCTCAGGACTGCCGCATGCAAAGCCGTCTTCCCATCGGTGCCTTCATGAGAGGCTGATTTACAAGTCTCTAGTATTTTAGTCACTACATCGAGAGATCTTCCCTCGGCAGCGATGTAAAGTGGAGTTTCGCCGAAATTATTAGTAGAATATGAAAATTCAGGGTCTTCTTTGGTTAATATTTCCACCACACCGATATAGTTATTCCGCACGGCCTCGTGCAAAGCTGTGTCTACCTCATTATTCTTCATCCTCAACATCTGCTGCTTGGCACCTACCCCACTTTCTAGCTCTTCACCTTGAGATTCTGCAAGCTCAATAAGAACTTCCACTATAGCAACATGTCCACATCTTGCAGCAAGATGTAGTGTCGTATCTCCATGTGCATTACGTTGTAGTAGTAGTGATGGACATATCTCAAGGATTTCCTTCACAAACTCCCTTGATTTTGGGATTGGACTTGGGGACGTGATATAAATATCAACGATTGTATTTTTGATTGGTGTTACTAAAAGGTTAAGATGTTGATTGGTTTCCTTGAAGAGTTCAATATTACCCTTAAATGCGGCCTCGTACAGACAAGGATCAATCTCGCGATTGCTGCCATCTGAAACTAAATCCATTGGAAAGCGTGATAGAAGTTTGGAGTTTGGTAGAGGTTTTTGTAATGCCCTGTATTTTTTGGATTTCATTAAATTTTATTTTATGATTTTTGGAGTAAAGTGTAAGAATTTGAAACTTTTATGGGGTAGAGTTTAATATCCGAAACAAGAGGGGACTGAAGAAATTCGCCGAGATATTTTGGTGAACATTATCCATTGTTCCGCTCAAAATAAGTGGTGAAGAAGAAGAGAAAGAATAAGGGAAGAAAAACTCTAGAAATGTTGATTAAAAGTTGTGTCGATGTATTGGCAAGGATAAGTTTCCTTGAATTAGGATTATTGCTGATATATATAAAAAAAAAAAAAAAAAAATTAATTTAAAGTAATAATTATTAAGAAGGATATTCCCATTGACTATTCTTACTTAGGGCTTGCTTCAAGAAATTTAGTTCCGAGGCAACGTGGGGTGGTGGTCCCGCTGATGGGGTTAAATCAAAACATTCTATGATATTTGAATAATAATATCATTTATATTGTCAATCTCATATGTATCATGCCAAATCCCCTCAATCGAATCACTGTTCGTGATCAAGATTTTATTTTATCATCAATCCAATCACCGTTCACCTTCTTTATTTTTCTTATCCATTAATACATCTCTTTACTTGTACGACTTAAATGTCTATTCTCCCTTTAAAATTCAGAAAACCCCCAAAACAACAACTCTTTACTCAAGTTCTGAGTGAAGACCAAACAACATTTCATTGCTTCATTCTTCTTTTCCTTTTATTTAGATTTTTAAAATTCTTTCTTCAATTCTAAATGATGAAAAGGAAAAGTAAAATAGCTAGCCCTTTTAGGTACTTGAATATTTCCCAATAGTTCTGTCCATTTACAGTTATTGCTTCCGTGAACATAATAGCTAAATAATCCCAACGTGTTATATAAGGCAGATATTGTATAGTTGTTCGGTTTTCCGCAAACTTTTCCATCCTTAATTTTGTTTAAATTCGCAAGTTAAACAAGGATCAAACTATTGTTTAATTTTATGATATATAAGAGAACAATGAAAAATGATTATTTTAACATTTATCCATCCTAATTTATAACATTTCCAAAATATGATTGTTCCCCTGTGTTTGTTCAACAGAGTTTTGGTATGCATTGTACACTTGAGCAAAATGAGATGGCTGAAAGACTAAGTCCCAGTAGTAAAGATATGGTGAAATATTGATGACTAGAAATAATTTGTCTACTTCATTTTGAGTTAAAGTTTTTGAAAACCGTCTTTTTCCATATTAGCTAGAAATTTCTCGTAAGATGATACTCAAGTTTTAATTCATTAAATAAATAATTGATAGTTAATTTTTGGGCTGTTTGGAACTCAAGTTTAGTACATTAGTTATCTTGAAAACATTAAGGGTCAGTTTGGTTCGGGGTTAAAGTGACATTACTGGGGTAATATCATCTTATATTACTTGATTATCACGTTTGATTGTCAAGTAATATAAGATATCAGTAATCTTCAAATACCAATAGTGGTTATTATTGGTAATATAAGAGGTAATCTGATTACCTCCATTTTCTTAGGTTTTCTGAGATTACCAGGGTTATCTTTTTTTGTTACAATTTTATCCCTTATTAATAAAAATTTTGGACAATAATACCCCTACTTTAAAACAAATTTACATTAATATCTTATTTTAATTTTACCCTTGTTTAATTAAAATTTTAGACAATAATACCCTTATATTTAAAATAATTTACAGACCACCACTGCCACCAAGCAGCCACCACCACAGCCACCCAGCCACCACCGTCGACAGCGGGTCAACCACCACGGACCACTGTCGAAAAATTGTCGGAGTCCCTAAAAACACTGGAAATTCTGCGGGAGGCTCCGGGAGGCTTCGCTATGGCCGTTTTCGGCCATATTGATGGCCGAAAACGGCCATATCGGGCCAGATCCCTGGCCGATAACGGCCAGATCCCTCGATCTGGCCGTGACCAGACCTGGCCGTTAACGGCCAGATCTGGCCCAATATGGCCGTTTTCGGCCATCAATATGGCCAAAAACGGCCATAGCGGAGCCTCTTGGTCACGGTGACGTACTCACAGGCACATCCGGCGGTGGTTCGCGGTGGCGGCTGGAGGTGGGGGTGATTTCATCATAAATTAAAATTTTATATAAGCAGGGGTGTTTTAGCTAAATCTGAAATATTGGGGGTTAAAAAATTATTTAAAAATTAATAATAAAAATAATTTTATATTAATATTTAAAATGGAGACAATTTAGTAATTTAAATAGCATACCCACCAATTTATTCCCCATAACCAAACATATTAATATAACATACCCACCAACTAACCAAACATATTTTTCTAAAGATTCCCATTAATCTTTCAAGGTAATCTATCTTTTCAGTAATTCAATATTCCCAGTAATCTAACATTCCTGAACCAAACGCCCCGTAAGTTTTATAGGTTAATAGTTTGTATCATGGCACTAAGATTATTAAAGCTATTAAAGTTGATAAAATTGATATAGATAAATATCTCGTATGAAGCTTTTTTTCAAGGTTTTCAACTCGTATTGAAAGTTTATAGTAGAAGGGGACTTATCATTGGGTGCCAATACTTGGAGCTTTTGCTGCTGTTGCTATGGCATTTTCAGCTGGCGCCATCTGCCAGCTCCATCCTGTTTCTTTCTTTTTCATTTCATATGTGCAGCATAATCCAACATCTTAAATGATAATTAAGGAAAAAGAAAATCAACTGCAGACATTACATTATTTTGCAGAACTATGATGTGCAATTTTTGTGGCATTTGATAATGTTTTATCGCGGAATGACAGTTCTCAACGACGGTAGGGTCAGAAGCCCTATATTGACCCGGAACAGCACCCAAACACCTGCCCGCCAACTGTTGGATAAAATTCCCCAACCAACCAAAACACACTCCATTAGGTGGGCTTGAAAAGAAAACCCTAGTTCTTTGCAGCGGTCGGCGGGCAATCAGGGTCAGGGAGGTTGGGCGTTTTGGAGGGTGGACGCCGGACATCGGAACGGAAAGTTGTGAGATTTGAGGGTTAGGGTTACTTGAGCTGGCTAGTCAATTTTCTTCAAAATCGAAGCTTTTCACCACTTTCATTCACTCTGGACAAAGCTCTAATACCAATTATGTAGCTAGGCTGATTTTTTCAATTCAACCACCAACACACACCACACAACACAACAAATTTCCAAGAAAACGAGTAAAAAGTGGAGCTCAAACTCCGAGGAAAACAACTTGAAAATTTCGTCTAAAACAGAGCAACTTTTTGGGAAACTAAAAGGAGAAGATTGTGGAAAGTTCAAGAGCTTTTTGCTCGCTCTTTTCTTCCAATCGGAACAGCTTTGTTCCTACGTTTGCTTCAATTTCTTATCTCACGATACGAAGTAAACAACAAATTTTTTAATTTATTTTCCTAAGACCCAATGGTGAGCCAACAAGTGGCTTCTCCCATTTCACAAGTTTAAACTCAAGTTAACAAAGTAAACCACACAAGTTAACTAAACCGCAGTTAAAAATGAAATGGATAAGTAACGGCACATTAAACATTTAATACTTTTACAAGCTAGCTATGTAGCCAAGAGATCTGGTTCTCATCATCATTATTTAAGTAATTCGAATTCCCCGGGTGAAACTAATTACAAGTTATATAGAAATTTATTGTCTGAAACTTCTCCAGGGCTATGGACCAGATTCTGCCCAATCTTTTACCATCTTGTAGAACAAATGCTTGAAAAGCTGCATTTCGAATTAGGACACTGGTACCCTGTTGGGGACCTTGTTCATTTTGGTAACCGCCTGGCATTGTGAAAGCTGCAGCGAAAGTTACTGTTGCTATGAGTACAGATACTACCATCAGTGAATCTTTTCTTTTCTCCCATTTACTGACATTTTCTTCGAATTTCCATCCGCTAAGTCCACGAATAACATCTCGTCGAAATGGTCCAACATCAACAACTTCCGACAATTCTTGGATTTCTTGCTGAAGTAGACATGCATGCATTGATAAATATTTAGAAGAATAACATGTAAAAATTAAAATATATACTAAATATGAAGAATTAATATGAATTAGCAAACCAATGTGTTTTTGCACTAATCAACGTTGACTAAATCACTTCCGAGAATGAGTCACACATTTAATACTTTGGAATTTTATATAGGGTTCAATGGTTTGGCTGAGGCAGCACAAATAATGAGAGCTGTCATATTTGTGAGTCTCTAAGGATTAGTAGTTCTACTAATTATGAGACTTAAGTTAGGAGGGCACTTACCTTGAGCTCTGCAGACCCATAAGTTAATATGTCTTTGACACTATCATTTTTCTTGTTGAGAAACAGACTATGACCCGTAAGTACTCCTTCAAGCAGGGCGTCTCTAGGAACCTAGGTAGAAATTATTTTAGGCCTTCTAATAATATAAGCATATATTAAAAAAATTATTTTTATTATTATTATTATTTTTTTTTTTTTCTTTTGAGATGAAAAATCACTAGGAGAGGTGGATAGCAATCGACAGGCTAACAAGGTTAGATTGGTGGGGGGTTTTGGAGAGTAGATGTTAGAGAAGTGATGAGTAGTGAAATGGGTGATTTCCAATGCCAAGATTGATAAGAAAATGCTTGAGAAGTCACGGGCCAAAAGGTATCGATGGTCGGCGATTGACAGAGTAAACGGATAAGGTATGATAGGGGTTTTGATGAGAGGGCTGAGGGGAGGAAGATGGTGGTGTCGGGGAGGACCAACAATATCGAGTACATGCCAAAAAGGCTGGAACTGGTTGTCGTGTAGTGGAGTTGGGTTGCGAGATTCATCAAAAATTAGTCAAATCGAGGGCTATCAAGGTTGGAAAATGATAAAATGATGATTTCGATCGATTTTGGTGAGAAAATCGATCGGAACCAAAATTGACCGAAATTAACTCCAAACCACTGGCGGAAGAAGAGGGCTGGAGATGATTTATGTGAATGTCAAATTTTGGGATTGAATTGGGGTTGAGTAATTTGAGATATGTAAATGACTATTTTAGTCTTCCATTGTTAAAAGAAATTCAATGTGTTAATTTAGGAGTATAAACATAATATATAAAACTAGAGGTACAAACTTGCTATTTTGTTAAACTTTGGGTGGAAATATATGTAAAAAGTTTATAATAAATTTTGACTTTTTTGGCTTTTTTTTTTTTGACCCCTTAGCTTAGATAAGAAATTATAAACCATTTTTATTTTTGTAAGATATTCAAAATAAAAAAAAAAATTATAAAAAATTTGGGCCCCCAATTTTTTTGGGGTCCTAGGCAGGTGCCTCACCTGACTACCCCTTAAGCCGGCCCTGACTCCTTCTATGCCGTCGTCACTCGTCATACCTGCGGGTAAATTCACTAGAAGAAACAGCAAGCACATGAATAGGAGTATTCCCTTTTGCATCCTTCCTGTTTAAAAGACTTCTTTTAATATTAGTATTAAGCAATGGTTTTTTAAGGAAACCATTTAATGCCTTAATACTTAATCTACACATGGCAAAGTGAAGAAAATTCCGCCCCCTGTTATCAACCATTTCACGACAACCTGGACACCGAGCAATAAGCTCTTTCATTGCGCATTTACGCCCTTGGCTAGATGCCATATGAAGAGCTGTCATGTTTCTTTTTTGCTCTTCTTTGTACGCAGAAGATCTATCAATTTTTAAAAGCTCTTTGACAATTGAATCATGACCGTAATATGCAGCGTAATGAAGTGGAATCCACCCATTTTGGTTTGTTTCTTTTGTCAAGCTTCTCTTTTTCTCAAGTATTGCTTTTACTATATCTGTAATAAAATAAAATAAAAATTAACTAAATAATTATATATATATTTCACCAAAAATATTCACTAAAGCAAACTCATAGAATAAAAATAATTACATATATAATAGGATGACAAAAATAACTGCTCATGTATTACCTAGATCTCCGCTCAGGATTGCCGCATGCAAAGTCGTCTTCCCATCGGTGCCTTCATGAGAGGCTGATTTAATATATCTGTAATAAAATAAAATAAAAAATTAACAAAATAAACAAATAACTATATATATATATTTGACCGAAAATATTCACTAAAACAAACTCAGAGAATAAATAATGATTACATATATATATGATAGGATGACAAAAATAACTGTTCATGTATTACCTAGATTTCCGCTCAGGACTGCTGCATGCAAAGCCGTCTTCCCATCGGTGCCTTCATGAGAGGCTGATTTACAAGTCTCTAGTATTTTAGTCACTACATCGGGAGATCGTCCCTCCGCAGTGATGTAAAGTGGAGTTTTGTCGAAATTATTTGTAGAATATGAAAATTCAGGGTCTCCTTTGGTTAACATTTCTGCCACACCGATGTAGTTATTCTGCACGGCCTCGTGCAAAGCTGTGTCTCCCTCATTATTCTTCATCGTCAGCATCTGCTGCTTGGCACCTACCCCACTTTCTAGCTCTACACCTTGAGATTCTGCAAGCTCAATAAGAACTTCCACTATAGCAATATGTCCACATCTTGCAGCAAGATGTAGTGGCATATCTCCATGTGCATTACGTTGTAGTAGTAGTGATGGACATATCTCAAGGATTTCTTTCACAAACTCCTTTGATTTTGGGGTTGGACTTAGAGATGTGATATAGATATCAATGATTGTATCTTTGATTAGTGTTACTAAACGATTAAGATGTTGATTGGTTTTCTTGAAGGGTTCAATATTACCCTTAAATCCGGCCTCGTACAGACGAGGATCAATCTCGCGATTGCTGCCATCTGAAACTGAATCCATTGGAAAGCGTGATAAAAGTTTGGAGTTTGATCGAGGTTCTATAATGTCCTATATTTTTTTGGATTTTATTAACTTTTATTTTATGATTTTTGGAGTAAAGTGTAAGACTTTGAAACTTTTTTGAGGTTCTGTAATGTCCTGTATTTTTTGGATTTATTAACTTTTATTTTATGATTTTTGGAGTAAAGTGTAAGTCTTTGAAACTTTTATGGGGTAGAGGTATAACCAAAACAATAGGGGACTGAAGTAAAATTCGCCAAGATATTTTTGTTAACATTATCCATTTGTTCGCCCAAAATAAGTGGTCCATTTGTTCGCTCAAAATAAGTGGTGGAGAAGAAGAGAAAGAAAAACGGAAGTAAAACTCTGGAAATGATGACTAAAAGTTGTGTCGGCGTATTGGCAAGGATAATTTTCCTTGAATTAGGGTTATTGTTGATATATATATATAATATATTAATTTAAAGTAATAATTATTAAGAAGGATATTTATTCATTATATATATATATATTTCCTTCAATACCTTAAACCTTTTTTTTTTTTTTTTTTTTTTTTTTTTTTTTTTTTTTTTTAATAAAAGGGATGAAAGATGGAATTAAACAATAAGAATTAAACAAGTAATGGATATTCCCATTGACTATTCTTACTTAGGGCTTGCTTTAAGGAATTTAGTTCCGAGACAACATGCTATGGGGTGGTGGCTCCGCTGATGGGGTTAAATCAATACATTCTAAGATAAAAGATTTGAATATTAATATCATCCATATTGTCAATCTTATAAGTATCATATCAAATCCCATCAATTGAATCACTGTTCACGACCAGAATCCTATTTTATCATCAATCCAATCGTAGTTCCCCTTTTTTCTTTTCCTTATGGATAAATAGATCTTTACTTATATGACTTAGATGTCTATTTTCCCTTTAAAATTCTAGAAAACCCCCAAAACAACAACTTCTTACTCAAGTTCTGAGTGAAGACCAAACAACATTTCATTGATTCATTCTTCTTTTTCCTTTTATTTAGATTTTTGAAATTCTTTCTTCAATTCTAAATGATGAAAAGGAAGTAAAATAGCTGGCCCTTTTAGGTACTTGAATGTTTCCCAATAGTCATGTCCATTTATAGTTATTTCTTTGGTGAACATAGTACCTGAATAATCCCAAAGTGTTACATAAGACAAATATTGTATAGTTGTTCAGTTTTCTGCAATTTTTTCCATCCTTAACGTTGTTTAAATTCGCAAGTTAAACAAGGATTAAACTATTGTTTAATTTTATGATATATAAGAGAACAATGAAAAATGATTATTTTAATATTTATCCGTCCTAATTCATAACATTTCCAAAATGTGATTGTTCTTCTGTGTTTGTTCAAAAGAAAGTTTTGGTATGCGTTGTACACTTAACGTAAAATGAGATGGCTAAAAGACAAAGTCCCATTAGTAAAGATATGGTGAAATATTGATGTCTAGAAATTAATAATTTGTCTATTTTTTTTGCGTTAAAGTTTTTGAAAATTGTCTTTTTCCATGTTGGCTAGAAATTTCTAGTAAGATGTTACTAGAATAATTTTAATGGAAATAATACAGTCATCGAAAGTAGTGCACCGAATTCATGCACCGAATAACGTGACAAAATCTTGACTATCGATTAATTATAACTTAATATTAATCGACAGTCAGGATTTTGTTACGTTATTCGATGCATTACTTTCGGTGACTGTAGCATTACTCTAATTTTAATCTTTGGGCTGTCTGGAAACTCAAGTTTAGTATATTAGTTATCTTGAAACACTAAAGTTTATAAGTTAATTGTTAAATCATGGCACCAAGATTATTAAAGCTATTTAAGTTTAATAAAGTTGATATAGATAAATATCTCATATGGAAGCTTTTAATCAAGGTTTTCAACTCGTATTAAAAGTTTATAGTGGAAGGAGACTTATCATGGGGTGCCAATACTTGGAGCTTTTGCTGCTGTTGCAATGGCATTTTCGGCTGGTGCCAACAATCTTCCAGCTCCGGTCTGTTTCTTTCTTTTTCATTTCATATATGCAACATAATCCAACATCTTAAATGATAATTAAGGAAAAAGAAAATCAACTGCAGATATTACATTATTTTAGCAGAACTATGATTTGTGGCATTTGATAATGTTTTATTGCAGAATGGCAGTTCTCAAAGTCGGTAGGGTCAGAAGCATTGACCCTTTTAAAGGCTTCAATAGTAGCTTGCTTAATCTACGTTCCTGGAGGAACCTTCGCGAGTAACAGCAGTGTTAATGCTTTATTTTCTGATGGAGGGTCAGGGAAAATGATGTGCGCTTTCTTTCATCTATTTTATATGTTCTGAAGAATATTTACAAGATGGCACATTTCATCAAGCACTAAAAAACCCACTTTCTAGCACTTAACGTTGAGATTTTGCATGCTCAATTAGAACTTCCACCATAGCAACATGTCCACATCTTGCAGCAAGATGTAGTAGCGTACATCCATGGGCATTATGTTGTAGTAGTAATGATGGACATATCTCAAGGATTTCGTTCACAAACTCGATCTGTTGATTTTGGGGGTTGGACTTGGGGACGTGATATAAATATTAACGATTGTATTCTTCATTGGTATTACTAAACGGTTAAGATGTTGATTGGTCTCCTTGAAGGGTTTGATATTACCCTTAAATGCAGCCTCGTACAAACGAGGATCGATCTCGCAATTGCTGCCATTTGAAACTGAATACATTGGAAAGTGTGGTAGAAGTTTGGAGTTTGATAAAGGCTTCTGTAATACCCTGTATTTTGTGGATTTTATTAAATTTTATTTTGTGATTTTTGGAGTAAAGTGTAAGAATTTGAAACTTTTGTGGGGGTAGAGGTAATAGGTGAAACAGGAGAGGACTGAAGTGAGATTCACCAAGATATTTCGGTGAGCATTGTTGATTTGTTCGCTCAAAATAAGTGGCGGAGAAGAAGGGAAAGAAAAAGGGGAGAGTAACTCTAGAAATGATAATTAAAAGTTGTCGGTGTATTGGCAAGGGTAATTTTCCTTGAATTAGGGTTATTGTTGATATTGTTTGAGTGGGACTGGGGATGAACTGTCGAGTCAATTTCCAGTTATATAAGATATTATTAGTATTTACTTGTGGATGTTTTGGGCTTGGCAATTTCTTCCATGGGTGAAGTTATTTAAGCCTAACCAAAGGTCTTTTTAAATCCTGATGATAATTTTTTTTTTAAATATTAATTTAAAGTATTAATTATTAAGAAGGATATTTATTCATTCACTGTATCAAGTATATATATGAAAAAAAAAAAAAAAAAACACTTTTCTTCAATACTCTTAACATTAATTTCTCATTGTTTTGTTTCTATCTTTTCCTTCTTGTTTAATACTTGAATCTGGTTTTACTATAGGTTGTGGTGGTTGCTTTGGCTATTAAAAAACTTGATGCAACAGGAAAGCATAAGTCAGCCAAGAAAAACATGGCCAAAAAGCAACAATGTGTAGAAAGTCAGGATCAGATTCAGACCAATGATACAAAAGGGGAAGATGATATTGAGGAAGTATTAAAAGAGTTTATGGAGATGATACTTGACACAGTCTATGGAGAGGAAGAGCGAAGCTGGGCCTCGCCAGATGCAATCCAAATAATTAAAGATCCTGAGCAGGCTCAACCTATATCCCAGATTAATTTGACAGTGACTGAACAGTGCACACCATTTAAACAATTGCTTGAGTTTACCCCAAACCAGTTGGTTCAAAATCCACTGTGTGTCCAGTAAGTAATCTCTGAGTCTTATAAGCAATAAAGAAAATGAAAGGCTGTGTTAAAAATTATGGTTAAAAAAAAAAAGTCGGCTCTATGATGAAGCAGGTTATTGAGTGTGACAAACACATCCTCATTCGGGCTGCTTTAGCTGAAAAATATGATGAGATAGAGGAATTCTTCAGCTTTCCACAGCTTCTAGCTTCATCTATATTCGCGTAAGTTTACTCTTGTAATTAATGAAAACAATACAATCACTATGTTTGTTTACATCTGCAATTCATTCATCTGCAGTCTCATTCAATCTGCTAGTGAGATAGCTGCTGTTGTAAGTCCATATGGAGCCATTGTTGATGTTTTCAAACGCAGAGAAAAATATTCCGGAAATGGCGAAGATGTGTGTTAGGATTCCATATCGGGATCTCACACCCATCAAGTGTAGTATTTAAGCCTAGAGGCTCTCTCACCTATCAGGCCGGTCTTTTGGGTTGGGTTCTCCCTTGGGCTTGAGTTTTAATATTGGTGCTTTCGTTGAGAGTTAGGTGGCGAAAATGGTTACTTATAGGTTAGATTAAGGTGCAATGTGTATCGAATGACTGATAGGTGAGTGAAACTACCCAAAAAGGAAAAGGGCCACCGTCGGGTTGGTGTCGATAAAGTGAAAGTCACCGTGGATGTCGACTCTTGAATGAGGTGCAATGTTAGAATCCTATATCGGGATCTCACACCCATCAAGTGTGGTGCTTAAGCCTAGGAACTCTCCCACCTATCAGACCGGTCTTTTGGGTTGGACTCTCCCTTGGGCCTGAGTTTTAACAATGTGGTGAGTTATTTTGCTTTCAACTTTCTACTTTAACCACACAACTTGTAATATTTACATTGACATAAATTAACATGACTAAGAAACTTTCAGAGGTCAGTAGATGTGAGCTGGTGGTTTAAAGGTGTTGGAGGATTTGCAGCCGCAATGGGATTCTTCCTGTGTGGATGGAGGCTAACTCAATGTCTTGGTGGGAAGCTCACATTCATGAGCAATTCTAGAGGATTAGCCTCACAATTATCAACTGTTGCTGCAATCATCATAGTAACTCAGATAAATCTTCCTGTTTCAAGTGTTCATGCTTTTGTTGGATCACTTGTAGGAGTAGGATAGCTGATGATTTTCGGGTATGGTTTCTTACATCTTAAGCTAAATTTATTTTTTCTTGCCTTATCAATTAGAAAATTTATGATGGTTTTGCGGTTTGCAGAACGTGAACTGGAAGCTCTTAGTGAAATTCATATGTGGATGGGTGAAGACCATAATTATCTATTGTGTGGCTGCTTATGTTATCTTCTCTACCTCCGTTCACACACCGGCATATGCAGTTCCCTGATTTTCTGTGTGGCATCATCACATCAAATGTACATATACCGTTCAATTTATGACGACGATATCTTAGTGATTCGCAAATTCTGCAATAATAGCTCTGTTCTTATATTTACAAATCATGTGAGCGAAAGTGAGTTTACATTTTTAACACATCAAATCGCACCTTTCACCAGCGAACATCGGAACGGAAAGTTGTGAGATTTGAGGGTTAGGATTACTTGAGCTGGCTAGTCAATTTGCTTCAAAATCGAAGCTTTTCAACGTTTTCATTCACTCTTAACAAAGCTCCGATACCAATTTTTTAGCTAGGCTGATTTTTTCCGTTCAACCACCAACACACACTACATAACAACCTGCTAAGGTGCGCAGGGAGGAGGAGATTACCTTCTTAGAGAAAGATGAGGTATGATTGCATTCCTACTTCAGCAAGCATTCAAGGAAATGCAATTAGAAGTGGCAGATCTAGAGCTTGCCTTTATTCCCCTTTATGGTTTTATAGGGGATCATCTGATTCTGAGGGAATAATTGTACTTCCTGTCACTTTGGGTAAGACCAACGAAGTGACCAAGATGACAGAATTTCTAGTGGCAGACTATTCGTCCGCTTTCAATAGCATATTGGGACAACCTCTACTCTGGAACTTCAAAGCTGTCACCTCCATATATCATCTGAAGATGAAATTTCCCACTTCGACGAGGTGTGAAAAGGTCAAAAGGTCTCAGCATGAATTTCATGACTACTATGTAAGAGCAGTGCAGATAACATGCAAAGGGAAAGGGAAGCCAGTGGGCGTTCTTAAGCAGGTTATGGCCATCAGCAAGATCAAAGTACAGTCGGGTCTAATGGAAGACAATATAGATTCTCATGTTCAGGATAAGTATTCCCATAGTGGGCCTATTGAGACTCTTTCTGAGGTATCAGTCGACTAGAATGAGCCAACTTGTGTATTAAGAATCGGAAGATATCTTAACACTCAGCTCGCTACTGACCTAACAAGCTTTCTCAGGTAGAATATATGTCATGCACTTAACATCGACAGTGAGGTCAAGTCAGTTCGCTAGAAAAAAAGAGCCATGGACTTAGAGTGTTATGCTGCTCTTAAGGTTGAGGTGGATAAGCTCCCTCAATCAGGTTCATTCGGGAGGCTCATTACCCGAGTTGGGTCGCCAATCCTGTTTTGGTGAAGAAACCTAGTGGCAAATGGCGAACCTATATTGACTTTGTAGATCTCAACAAAGCTTGTTCGAAGGATAGTTACCCTTTGCCCAGAATTGATCAACTCGTCGATGCCATTTTTGGGCACGAGCTGTTAAGCTTCATGGATGCCTACTAAGGGTATAATTAGATCCCAATGTATACGCTCAATGAGAAGCATGCCTTATTTATTATAGATCGGGGACTGTAATGTTATAAAGTTATGCCCTTCAGTCTAAAAAACGTTAGGGTGACCTACCAACGTCTGGTTAATAGTATTTTTTCCGGGCAGATCAGGAAATCAATAAAGCTCTTTATTGATGACATGTTGGTCAAGTCGCATGTCGCTTCAGATCACATAGCTAACCTCGTGGAAATGTTCGATATACTTCAGAGGTATCAAATGAAACTTAATCCTCTTAAGTGTTCATTCAGAGTATCCTCAGGGAAATTCCTAGGGTATATGGTTAACCATCGAGGAATTGAAGTGAACCCCAAGATGGTCCAAGCTCTCCTAGATATGAAAAATCCAGCCAATCGAAAGCAAGTTTAAAGCTTGAATGGGAGAATAGCGACTCTCAACTGCTTCATATCGAGAGCAACAAATCGTTGTTTGCCATTCTTCAATATACTCAGGGCCAATAAGAGATTTGAGTGAACACCAGAATGTGAGCGAGCCTTCCAGAGCATAAAAGCGCATCTCGAAAAGCCACATCTTTTGCCCAAACCCCTTCCTAAGGAAATCTTATTTCTCTACCTGTTTGTTTCTCAGTATACTGTTAGCGTAACTCTCATTCAGGAAGATGATAGAATTCAATAGCTAGTGTATTATACAAGCAAACGACTGCTAGATGCCAAGATTCGGTATCTAGAGATGGAACGATTAGCGTATGCTTTACTGATCGCTTCGAAGAAGCTGCGACCTTACTTCCATGCCCACACCATCCATGTCTTAACCAACTACCTACTTAGGTAGGTCCTTCAGAAGCCAGAGGCTTCAGATAAGTTGCTTAAGTGGGCTATGAAAATGAGTTAATTTGATCTGCATTACAGACCGAAAATAGTAATTAAAGGGCATGCTGCTGTTGACTTTATTTCAAATTCTCTAATAAGTTAGATCGAGAATCCCAACAGCCAGCTAGTGAAGTTATCCAGAAAACTGTTTGGAACTTATCAATCTGAAGTCGTTACGTTGATGGGTCTTCGAACTGGAGAAGAGTCGAAGCTGGTCTTCTGCTGCATTTATGGAGCCCTCAAGTTTGGATTCAAAGCTATAAATAATGAGGACAAATATGAGGTGTTATTTGTTGGCCTGCGACTAGTAAGACAAATAGGATCAGATATGACCGACATTAATAGTGACTCCTAACTGGTTGTTAATCAGATTATAGGAGAGTATCAAGCCAAAGAAGAGAATATGATCAGTTACTTAAAGAAAGCCAAGGCTGCGCTCGAGCCCTTTAAGCACTATACAATCAGGCGAATCCCAAGAGATAATAATTCTATTGTGGATGCTTTGGAAAAGATAGCCTCATCATTGGACTCTGATGCTTCAGATAGTTTTCTAATCAAGTACATCAAAGCTTCCAACATTAGCTCACTTGATCAAGTCGTAGTCGCAACTGAATCTGTTTCCTAGATAACTTCGATTATTTAGTATCTTAGAGATGGGGTTCTTTCTAATAGTAAGACTGAGGCAAGACTCCTACAAACTAGAGCTGCTCGTTACACTCTTATCAAAGATTAGTTGTATAAGCAAGGGTGTAACACTGTCTTCCTTTGATTTGTGACAGATGATAAAATAGAGAGAGATGCATGAAAGGATATGTGGCAATCAAACTGTTACACGATCTCTCGCTAATAAAATTATCCGCTAGGATACTATTGGCCCCTATTTCATGAAGATGCCTTTAACTTTATGAAAAAGTGTGATAAGTGTCAGAGATTCGCAAACATCCCACGAGCTCCTTCCCACCAGTTAACGATGATGACCAGTCTTTAGCCATTTCTATGTGAGAAATTGATCTCATCAAACCCATGCCAACCGGTAATGGTAGCATCAAATATGTAATGGTTGTTGTGGATTATTTCACTAAGTAGGTCAAAGCAAAGCCTTTAACCATGATCACTACAAAGAACCTTAAAGACTTCGTCTTCAAGAACATAATATGTCATTATAGGATTCCTCACACACTTATCTTTGATAACGGGAAATAGTTTGATAATGAGGAATTCAAGCAACTTTGCGAAGAGTTGGGGATTCATAAGAAATTTGCCTTAGTAGCAAGATCATAAGCTAATGGTCAAGTTGAAGCTGTCAACAAGACTATCAAGCACATATTGAAGGCCAAGCTTGGCATGGCCAAGGGCATTTGGGCTGATGATCTCCTAGCAGTTCTATGGGCATATAGAACGATTCCAAGAACCTCTACTTTGGAAGCACCTTTCTCGCTAGCATATGGTTGCGAAACAATGGTCCTAGTGGAAGTAGGGGCTGGTTCGCTTCGGAAAGAGTCCTACAATGAAACAAACAATGAGGCACTCTCACATGCAAGTCTAGACTTAGTTGAAGAACACCGCGATAAGGCTCAGTTAATGATAGCTTCCTACCAAAAATGAGCAAAAAGATTCCTCAACTCTAAAGTTGGGAGAAGAGACTTCCAAGTTGATGACCTAGTGTTAAAAGAAGTCTTTCTTGGTATAAGAGAACCAAATTCGAAGGTATTAGTACCTAACTGGTGATAGAATGAAGGACAAAAGTGAAAATTAACTAAATGAGAAAAGCTGATTGTAAAAACGAAGTCGTTTACTCTTGTCATGCAATGTTTGCTTATAAGCACATCATGTGTATCTTGTATAGTTAGTTAGAAAAAGAATCATTTTAGTTTTTTAGTTTTGTGCTCTCTGTTTTTCTTTCTCTGCTTTGTTAGTTTTCTTGAGCTTGTAGAAGAAGATTCTTCTTCATCCTTTCATGGTATCAGAGCCATAGACACACGTCTTTGGAAAAAGATTTGATCCTGTGTTTTTTGTTTTCTATTCAATTCAAGTCTCTGTTTGCGAAAACCTCTCTGTGAAAAACAAATGGAAAATACCTTAGTTCAAATAAAGAATCCAATTACACCACCAACACTTCCTTCAATCTCTGTCAAGTTGAGTGACAAAAATTATAATTACTGGAAGTCTCAAATTCTTCTAGCTCTCACTGGCCATGGACTTGAAGGCCATATCACGGGAGAGAAAGTTTGTCCTCCGATGTTTATAATGGACAAGACAGATGGATCTGAGCAACCAAAGAAAAGAGGTAACCCTAACTACTTTTCTTGGCAACGAACTGATCAGTTCTTAGTGAGCTGGTTAAATTCTACTATTTCTGAGTCCATGTTTCGTCATGTTGGGAAATGTATTACTACTTATGATATCTGGAATACACTTAAACTGCACTTTCATTCAGCCTCTAAGGCTCGAACTTTACATTTGAGAAGTCTTTTACAGAGTACTAAGAAAGATGCACTTACTATGAATAAGTATGTATTGAAAATGAAAGAACTTGGTGATGAGTTAGTAGCCAGTGGAGTCTTAATCAATGATAAAGAATTGTTATTGTACATACTAGACAGACTAGGACCTGAATATGATTCT